TTAATAGTCCTGAATTAAAAATAAGCTGAAATAGAAATAATAAGCGACAGGAAATTAATAAGATACCAAGTTTCTGCTTTCTAGCTGAAGACGTAATAAGCTCTGTCACTCTCTTTTCTGCACCTTGTACATTTTCAGACGTCTTCTTTTGAGCTCTCGAAATTCTGGGACTGGCATGCTGTCGACAAGCATTTCTTCCAGAAACCCTTTTCCTTGTTTGCATTTCAATGTGAAGATCTCACCAATCTTTGGACTGCAATCCCTGTTACCTTGAACCAGCACAAGAGTGTAATTATTGGCAACAACGACCTAACCACAGTTTCCTGACTGAATAAATTTTGAATTAGCAACCCAGAAAAAAACAGTCTGTTATTTTAGCCAAAAATAAGAATCCTTAAAGGGCAAATCCAAGAAAAGCTCCAAATAGGATTGATCCTACAGCAGCACCCATGGCAGCTGTAATGCAAAACTAGCATGAATGGTAACATGTAAAAAATGTAACCATTCAACAGGGCTTGAAAATACAGACTAATACATGCACAGAAACCAGATTAAATCAAACTACACGAACTAGTAAAAGAATAAAAATTTAAATACCAGATTTTCTCTTAATCAAAATTTAAATACCAAATTTTCTAGAAATATCCCATCACAAAATAAAAATCAGGCTTCTTCATACTAGAAAACTGTGTAGCCAGTCAATAAAGAGGAAAACAGAAAAAGGTAACTTCGTGACATTTTAATCAAATGCAGCATTGTTCAAGTCGAAGTATATGTACCAGAATTCTGTTTCCCCCACCTCTTGGTACAGTCATTCAATTTGAAGCATAAATTCCAAAATTACCTCTCTCGTCTTGATACAAACAGTAGAAGCTAACTGCTTCCCCATAACCTCTCTACCTTAATCATCTACTCAGACTGTTGAATCCATACCTTTGGATTTTCAAATACCTTATATTAATGTTAAGCCATAAGTAAAAGGGCCAATGAATAATCTTTCGAACCTAAAGGCAGTACTCCTGTTCAGCTTAAATTCAAAGAAAAAATACTGAGAATCACAACTACCTCCACGTCAACATTTCCCAATTTATAAATTTGAAACACTCTGACTTACAAATTGCTAAAGCTTCGCATATGCATAACAGGTCATAACACACTTAAGATCATTGACAGGACTAAAATCTTAGGTAAAACCCTAGATAACCGTGGGAAACTCCAAATCTACAAGGCGCACAAGAGAACTATAACGAGCAACGAAAGAATCTATATCGGTATCGTTCCCAAACCGAATATAAAAAATCAGCACTAAAAGTTAAGCATTTAATGCAGGTCGCGCAAGACATGCATCAATAACTAGTTAAACCCTAGAAAAACAACAGACAAAGACGAAAACGAGCAGTAAATGACAACTAAAGCAACAAACCTGAACTTCAATAAGCGCAAAGTTCAAAGATTGTCGCCCGATATTAAATCCAATAAGAAAAATTCAGTAAGCTTTAGTCACAGTAAGTAAGTTCCTGTAAATCGAGCAAAAAACAAAGAGCAAGAGAGTCAAAAGATTGAAGACAAAACGAGAAGAAGAATGTGAGTAATCAAAACCCTAAATTTGATACCAGTGCAAAACGGGATTCTGGTTCGGGTGTTTTTTTTTTGGAGAGCTTTTCTTTTCCCTCCAAAGATGGAAAAGAGAGGGAAAATGGAGAGGGATCGAAAATTATTTTTGTCTGAACAAAGGAGCTGAAGATAAATTTGATGGACGTTTTTTTTTTTTATAATTTGGAAACTCTTTTAAGCTCGAGGGGGAGCTGCAAGAGAAATTTGCTTCAAACGCGCGTTTAACGGGGTATAACGTTACTCGCTGTCTATTACAAGGACAAGCGTCAGTAATTCAACACGTGGAGATATAGAGTAGCGCGTGCATCTTTAATAGAGTTGAGGCGAGTGGCAAGAGATTTGTTATTGTCTGTTAAATTAGTTTTATAATATTTAGATATAAACTAAAAGCCAAATGATAATCCGTAATTTGGATAAATTTATTCTGCATGGAGCTTCAACTTCGTGAATTTATAAATAGGACCCCAAACGTTTCATATTGATATATATATACATATACATTAGAGGGCAAAAAGCATATGATATGAAAAAACTATGATCCAGGTACTTGAATCCGAATCTGCTCTAATAATTATTTACTAAAATAAACATAAGTACAAGTATTAGTTTTTATAAATTATATGATCATCTGTATTATTTATAATTAATAAGTATATTATATTGAAAATATTTTACATTTAATAATAATAAAAAAAACGATTACACTAATTTTTATCGTACGTACAGTTGGAGATCTCTACGCTATTTGTACTTTTGGTAGATTAAAAATGTAGAATTTAAGTGTTAGTTTATTTTTGGAGGGAAAGCTCAATTCTTTTAAATTACGGTGTTTTCGATACTTTTTTGTCTTATAATTTTTTATATTACATTAGAAAATAATTAAGTATCTTATAAATCTTTTTTTTTTTTTTTTTACGGAAGATCAGGTTATGCTTCCATATCTTTTTCGCGTGGTGTTTCAAGGTTATAAAGGTCATCTTGTTCTACAATCTTTTCTTTTTCTTTGTCATTCGAAGTAAATACTTTTTGTTTTTAGGTTATTCTTTGATAGAGATTATACATGTTGTTTGATAATTTAGATATTAAGTTTTGTTATAAATAAAATCATTCCACGTTAGGTGCTAACTATACATATTTTCAGTGATTATTTAAAAGGAATTTTCGATTTTTGTCTTACTTTTTTCCAATTATATGGAGCATTTTGCTTGCGTTTTCTGTTAAAAAGAATACTCTACAATGACTACAACACAAGGTATTCACGAAATACATAAGAAGCATGTCGACATATTATAGAATACATTTTAAAACATATATAAAGTGATATTTATAGTCTTATCTCTCTCACACATTTTTATTTGTAATATCAATTCTCAATTAGATAATTGTTTTGACATGGATGTCAAAGAATGAGTATAAAAAATTAATATTTTCACTTAAAAATATAATAGCAAGTAATAAAAACATTCGATAATGAGACCAGCTTTAGTGTTACTAGTATGCACAATAAATATAACACATATAACAACTATTTATAACATGTTTAAGTTACATTGTCACGTGCCACTTACAACATAAAGAGATTTCATTTCAGCTTTCAAGTTCAAACATATTAGAAATAGAATTGCACTAAAAATTATAATTACTATATGAACAAAGTTTTCAACATTGTTTTAGTATAATAGTAAAGTGGAAATATTAATATGCTCGTGTATAAAATTACTTTTTTCTAGCCCAAGTGTAATCACCACTGTGAGCTTGGATTTTTGTCGTCGATCAAGTTTTAGGTAACTATGATAATTTTTGAGTTAAAAGTTTGTAAAATTTAAAAATAGCTTGCAAGGTAGTCCATTTATCGTATTATAAGAGTTTATAGCCAAATAATAACAATAGTTCATAAGTATATAATACTAACTTCTTATAAGAGGATCTACATATAATTTCAATAATAACTTAGAAATTAATTATGACTTAAAAATGTGTTAGATACCCTACTTGCCAAGTTCGTAGATTGACCATTTACTTATGATATAGTTTCTCAAATAATTTAACATAAGGTAGAATGGTCTTTACATACAATATATGTAAGACAAATGGTTAATAAGCAACAATAAACAATAGTTATAATGTGAAATTATTAACATTTATAACAATTATAAGGCATTTAACAAACATTAATGGCAACTATCACGCACTAATAAATGAATATCCGACAATTATCTTAAAAGCCGTTTGATTATGTTGACTCGCATTATCCCATACAACGAATGCATAAAAGTAAATAATGGCATGCATCATTTGGACATAAAAAGTGACTAGACATTTTGTTTAATAATTAACGTGTAATACAAAGTATTCGTATTTCATATAATTGGCTAAAATACATTATAAGGCGAACTATTAAGTTAAGTTTTAGTTATAAAATAAATGTTACCAAAGATATATTTTCACATAACATAATAAATAATATTTTTCAAAAGATTTTTACAAAATTATCGAAAGATTCATTCGCGATGATATATAAAATTTGCGATCTATACATGCTTACCAAATTTACTAATGTGAAAAGGTGTTGTGTCAATGAAGTGGCTGACACATAACTCAATGCACAACTACTTAGAAATTTTATAAAGTTTTGTTTCAAAACTTGTCATGTTTGAGAATAAAAACGAAAAATATAATAAATATTTTTTCACAAATAATAAGAAACACAAACATATCTTATTGTTGGAGTCTTAGATGTGTAAATAATATCGTTTGTTGAAGCTGCCTTCACTTAGTTACTTCGAGTGTAGAACAAGTAATTTACAAAGACATTTCAACTTTAGAGTTCTAAATTTTTAAGAATGACAAATTAAAATTATGATATGAGGTATCTTAATCCACTCTACTTGTTTTAACACAATTTTTTTAAAAAAAAAACAAAAGTCATATCATATTCAAATAGTACAAATGATTATATTGGATTAAAACGAGTTTAAATTCGAAAAAAAATCCGATCCGCTAGTAAACTAAATATATTTTTAATAAATTTTTTACTAAAAATAAATATATTTATTAAAATAAACCATAACAACAAACTCATATTCTCACAGTCACAACTCATCATCTCATCTATCAACATCCATCATTTTCTTTGTGCTCTCATCACTATTGAAAATTTAAAAGAAAATGAAATCTTCTTTGAATCAAGTCCTACTTTATTTAGAGTTTGGTTTCTTTTTCTTCTTCATTTTCAATACTACGACATTTAATTTATAGTTTCTTCTTTAATGTTATAAGGTAATAGTTAGGTCTTGCATTTTTCTTTTATTTTCTTTTCTTTTGTGAAAAAGAAGATTCACATTCAAATTTTTGCTTCCATGATTAACTTTTTTAGCTTTTTTTTTAAAAAATCTCATGACAAATGATGCAACAAAAGGAGACAACATAACACACCAACCCGAACCCTTTTTTTTTTTTTTCAAATTTGATCTCGTAAGATTCATATATTGATGCATATTCATCTCTTACTTTACCATCCTTAAAGTTAAGTTTGTCTTCAAGTAAGATAACTTAAGCTCGAGCATAGATGCAATTATGGTGGTGGGACGAGTACTTTCAATTACCTAAATGGTTTAGGTAGTTATATGATCAATCGACCTTAGGTTCAAGGTAGGTTAATGTTTTATAAAATAATTTTTATTTTACAAATTTATATGTTTAGTCAGAGCTTGACCAGGGGTCCCGATTTCTACATAGGAAAAATTCTATCCGTTCTATTCTCGAATATTTAGTTAAACTGCAACAAAGGAATTCTTCTCTTCATTCTTGGTTTTCTTGTCACCACCATGGAAGACCTTTACAAACCTGTTTCTTGTACGCAAGTCTCTCTGTAAATGGTTTTTTTTTTTTTTTTTTTTTTTTTTTTTTTATGCAGGATTAGCAGGATAAGATCATGCACTTAATAAGGTGAACAAAGTTGTTCTATTTTAAGAAACAAGAATCTCCAAAACTAACAAAAAATATGTTTCGAACAATCTCTTGCTAAGATATCTTTCTAATCTGTATTGCAAATCCTTAAAGAAAGAGAACCGAGTAACTTTCTTTGAGTTCATGAACAAAGATACCTTTTATGAGACAAGATGGATGAAGCGACATAAAACTGAACCAGCCTTGCATGCAGATGAATCAACACCGTACATAGATCCCGAAAATTGAAGTCCACTAGGAAAACACAATCGGCATATGAAGATAACCACGCTAACCAAATTAATTAATGAACAGTAGTAGTCAAAGATTGATATGTGGATGCCACAATGCATAAGTTACTCTTCTCCACCTCAAGCTGGGAGAGACTTTCACTAAAAATTTCAAGCTTGTAGAAGAGCTACCAATATAGTTATCTCAAAGACATGCCAAGAAAATGGTTATCTAGGAGGAGATGGAGTATTGGATTTTGCCATCCCTGCCCAAGCAACGATTCCAACCGCAAGGATTATCCATCCAAATATGTCATACTTGAGATCACTGCTCTTCTTCTTCTTGGAACTCTAAAATGAAACAACCAATTCAGGATGAATCTCACATGGTTAAAAAGGAAATATATATAAAGAATGTTAAAAATTTAATGAAGAAAATATGCTATGAACGAGATTTCCTCATATCAGTGGGTATCAAACAAGACACTAGTCATCCAATATGTATCACTTAAAGCTGCCAAAAGAGCAGACCTAACCTTACTTCAACAAGAGAAAAAAAAGCCATGTCCCTCAAACCAAACCGAGTAATGTGAAAGTGGAAGGAGCTCTTTTGTTAATTTATTCAGTTCTAAGGAGTAAGGACAGGAAGAAACCAAAACTTGTAAGTACTTCCAGAGAACCAAAACAACCAATTAATTCAAGCCAATACAAATTTTACTTGAATCAATCAGTTAAATCAGTTCTTCCGAAACAATGCAAAGCCCTTACAAGTAAAGGAAGCATGTACAGCTAGGACTACTTTAAAAGAACAAATTGAAGTTTAATAAAAAATGTTCAGGCTAATGATATGCATCATAGGGTCCAAATTAATCGATGCACAAACATAAATAGTCCAATACTTAGTGTAACTCTGCTACCTAATTGTCATATGGGCTTATAAAAGAATAGGAACCGCTGGTAAAAGCTTTTTGTATGTGGGCGGTACCCCTTGGTAACTTTGTTTATAATACTACACTTTTTATCTATAAAAAAAAAAAAGAATAGGAATAGCTGATTTTACTCTTAAAAAATAGAGCTCGGAAAACAGAGTTCTTGAATGGACTTTCACTAATCAAACTGGTTGCTGATGAATTAAAATGTTACATATTAGATAGCACATATTTGGTGCCTTATAATAAATTATGGTATCAATTAAAAAGAATATATACTTGTAATGAACACACACCACAACGAGTATAAAATGCAAACAAAGAGAAATGTATAAGACAAAAGAAAACTAAAACTGTGTGTTTCTGTGACATATGAGTACTTGGCAGCGCCAACTTTACTCAAAGTGTGTATGCGTGTCAAAAAACAAGTACTTCAAAGCACTAAACACTCTAATTGAAGTTGCTCTCCGAAAATAGTTAAAAATATCAAGAATCATACCTTACTGCTAGAGGAAGTAGACGATTCTCCACCTGTTGTCTGCTGACTCATTCCATGTTTATGGATCTCCATATGCAACTCAGAAGCCTGAGAAGACATGGACAACAAGGACTTAATACCTCATAAATATTTTAGAATCTAGCATACTCATGACAAAGTAGAGAAACCTATATTTGCACCATATCAAGGAATAATCTCACCTTCAACACTTGTCGTTAAATACACTTGACCGAAGCTCAGAAGCTTCAAAGTCGTGACATTGGCAAGACCACAATCAACTTGTGCAGGGTCAGTCACAGCAATTGCATAAACCATAGGCAACCCCAACCACACTAATGCAGGCTAATAAGACCCAGCACGGTTCTGAATGGTATCAAGTATATATACAAGCTACATCATATAAAATTAGACAAGAATGTCAAATCTTCGTGTCTAATTTTAGAATCTTCGTGGACAAAACGTAGCTTGAATTTCAAACCTAAGCCACCCCTACAAATTAACTCATCTGACGCTTACATGCCTACTCAATTAAACTAAACATATAGATCAATCAGAGTTCACAATGCATATACAAAATTGCCAAAAATAAAGGTCAAAAATTATTTTTTTGAAATAAAAAGAATGAATATATTAACAATGCACTTTATTTAAAACAATATATATATATATATATTACCAATGCACCAAAAAGGTGAAACCAATTTACAAAATAAATTTACATATTAGTCAAGCAGTCAATTATATACCAAAAATCATCCGCCCTATACAAGTCATGCCCTAATAGTAAAGACCCAAACAAGTGGAACCATCTATCTCTAATTTTTTTTTTTGTCACTTTCAACCCTCTCAAACACCCTCCTATTTCTTTTCTTCCAAACAATCCACCAAACAATCAAAGGAATTAACCTAGTGACTTTTTTCTTTTTTCTTAACCTCTCCCAGGCCGACAACTCCTCCCTAACAGACCCTGCCATAACCCAATTTACCCCCAAGAGGCTAAAAATCATAGTCCATATTTCCTGAGCAGCAGGGAAAAAAAGCAGAAGATGATTGCATGTTTCAACCTCCCTTTTACACATGGAACATCCATTGACCATCACCTTTCCTCTTTTCATCAACTTATCATTGGTCAAAATGCAAATCCTGCTGGCTTCCCATGCAAAAAAAGCAATCTTAGGCGGTGCCTGAACCTTCCAAATCTGCTTAACTGGAAAAAATTCTGTCTTCTGTCATTCTCCCCCATCAAAAATATAATAGGATTTCACTGAAAATTCCCTCCTGTTCTTTGATTTCCAAACCAATTTGTCATTTTCTGCAGAAACTTTAACCTTAGACAGCAAAGAAGAGATTTCATATTCCTCCCCTCCCAATC